GCCGCTCTGGACACTTGCCCTCAAGAAAATATATCTTTTCACTCGTCACATGGCCTAACCCCTACCCTCCATTTAACACAAGATCAATAGCAATGGAATAAAGCCGTTGCCAATCCCTCCAAGGGATGAAAATTGTCCGTTCACTTATTGGGTTTTCACAAAAGGTTCGTCCTCAGCCTAAAGCAGCTTGAATAAGTGAACACTGGGTTAAAGACATGAAACATTACCTGTCAATGGCCCTTAAACTCTCATGTATCTTGGGACTGAAGCATTGAAATTTCAGGTCCATAATATTTTAAAGCAAAAAGTTAAGTTGTATTATTATATTTGAGACAGGTTTGATCAAATGTATTGTCTTCTTTTTTGTCATTTATTTTAGATTTCTTAATTATCTAAATGGACACAAACAGAAAAATCAAAGTACCCGCCCACTTTTTTGTTTTATTTTACATTTATCACACTGATATATGTCCAAGTATCCATTGTTCTATATGTTTGGTTTAACTAGGTATTTGATGCTATAAAAAAATACTGATACCGGTCATTATAAAAAGTTCATGGAATAGACTTTTATCAAGAGTCTCAATGTTGTTAGTGCAGTTCTTCACTTTTATCCGTTATCGAGAACAAGCAGCAGACTGAACAAAAGACACATTTTTCTATGCAAGTGTGTAGACGTGTATTATTTTAGTTTTTCTGTCTTCACTGCAGGCAGAGACACCCGGCATGAATAATTGCTGTCTTCTCTGCAGTGAGCCCTTTTTCTGCGGCTACAGGGTCTGGGGTTGGCCACACGAATGCTGATTATGAGAAGTGAATTGTAAATATTTTAAACACCAAAGAAACTCTTGTGCACGATTCAACCTTTCAGCTTCACAAGGTCAAAACTAATTTGCAAGCCATGAAAAAGCATTTGGCAAATTTGAAAGAATTCCGAGGTGGTTGGGAAAGAGAGAGAGTGTGTATGTGTTCGCAGAAGGGAGGGGGTAGTCTGATGACATTGCATAGACCTCTGATACTTAGCAAAAGAGTTATTATAGCCATTAAGGCTTGCTGGGCTATTGAAGCAGTATGTGTGTTGAGGATACCTGCCAGCACTTCATTAATAAAGTGAATCACACTCTGTAGTTATGCATCAGTCTCGGCTTCAGACAGTTTGGGTGAAAAACAGGAAAATCACACATACCTGCACACTAGCTACACTCCAAAGGTCAACAAGTCTACAAAATGAATTATTTATTCCTTAATATTCCTGCAAGAACGAATAAATGCTTCCATTAAATGGAACATTATTGTATTGGCCACTTAACATATATGTAGAACAACCGTGTCAGCAAAATCCGACAAATATATCCATTATTGTCTCAGCACATTGTAAAAAAACTCCACTTCCCGTATCTTACAAACTCGTTTTTGTAAATCCAGAATATTAACTAACAACTCATTGAAGGAACAGAATGAAAGAGTGTGGGCAGTTGTTTTTCAGCTCCCTGTCCAATTTGCACTTGTCATGCAAATACTGTTTCTGTCAGTGTTGGATTCTGTGGGTTGATAGCTTGTTGATGAATTTGAGGTTATTTTTAACTTCTTTGAAGACGAAGTATCAATGCACTGCTATGTATGTAAAACTGTCCAAAGCTCAGTTCAACATCCACTTGAATAAAGTTTGATTAGTAACCAATGATTAGCCTATTTTCTACTAAACCAAAGTGTTATATCATATTTCTTTTAAATTTTATCATATTCCAATTAACGGGAGGGTTATTACCTCCTCCAAGAAGGTTCTGTTTTCATCCCTGTCCATTTGTTTGTTTGGAAGCAAAATTACACGATAAACTACAAAACACATTTGAATCTGGTGCAGATTCAAATAAAACTTTTGACCTATTGGGAGACTGTTGGTCTTCGTTGGAGACGAAACAATCCCTGGCCTACTTTCAAATATCAAACGAAAGGATCATACTTTTATTCAATTTAAATTTATTCAAATTTAAATAAAGATTATTTCAGACCGAATCGATACAATATCTAGTTTGTATACCTATAATTTTGTCACTGGACCTTGTGGTAGTTCAGTCTTATATTTCTCTTGGAGAAAACGATGTAGTCCAGTGAAATTACCTTGCTTTCCGACCGGCCGTGGTAGTCATGGTAACAGGCCTTACTGAGATCAAAGCCCAAAGACCTCACTTTTGACTGAAAAAGCACAATATCAGAGGAACTCGATTACGACTATTATCTTAACACTGTGGGAGATTAAGGACACAAAGAATAACAACAGTACAAACTTAGTTCAGAGCTACGTCGCTTAGTTTTATCAAGTGTTTCAGAGGACGACACCAAATACAAGTTGATTTTGAAAGCTTCAAAATCACTAGTATATAAATTTGCAATATTGCCAATGTAACAATCACCTCCTCATATCTTCTCTGCCCAATCATTTTTTCTTGTTGGAGGCAAAAGAGGAAAGATGCAACTGATCTGCAAACCACAAATCAGAGGGCTGCACCTGAGCTCATCAGGTGTTTAATCTGCATACAGGCTCTATAGTGCTGAACCCACAGAGTGTACTTCTAATGCATGGCAACTTCATTAAAGAGACAAAACATCATGGGGCTGTTACAGCTCCACAGTTGTTTGCTTTCATCCAGAGCCCACAAAAAGACCTGGTAATAAATCAAGCAGACACATGAAAGCAGATAGTGTAGTATCCTGTGACTGGGGACACAGTGAAGGAGTCTGATATTTAGATTCCCCGAAGATACACTGAGACGCTCAGCTCCTCCTGTGTCTCTGTGTTACACAAACAGACATCAGAGAGGAACTGATGAGGAATATCCAACGTGTGGAAGCCTCTTATCTAAGGGGGTCTTCAGAGAGATGTGAGGTTAGGAAAGACAAGGGGAGGGGGAGTCAAGAGTGCTGATGTTAGAAATGTGGACTCTTTGTTATTTTTCTTGTTTCATGTCCTCGTTTTCCTGCTGTGAGATTTACCCCATTTGGTGCCTGCATGGGATACGGGCTGGGTGACTCTTCACTCATGTGCCATCAATTCTCCGACAACCCTGAGCTCATGACCACAAAGACTCTGCCTAATATAAAGAGCTGTTCAACTACTAAGACTTCTGTCAACCTCTCTGCCTTTTCTTTTTCCAGTCTCACTCTCAAATCTCAACATCTGAAGGACTTTAAAGATAGTAATTTAGAGAAAGTGGAAATGATAAGATAGAATTATTTTGAATGAATGTGAGTGTAGAGCATCATGAACTTGAGTGGAAAAGAGAAAGGGAGCAAAAAAAAAACCTAGCGTCAACTCTGCCACTTCTATGTGAGGAGATAAGATACACAAATTAAGCTACTCAGGAGAACTTTAAAATACAGATAACTAAGAAAAAAGAGGAAAAATCAGTCTGTTGAATCCCTCTCCTTTTCTCTACTTTGTATATATGTAGGTATATGCAACTGTACCACTTTGTCACACTAAGGCTTCCTAAATGGGCTGAAGGTAATTGGAATATTTAAGCATTTTCTCTCCAGCTGCTGAGGAAACTCTTTTCTCACTAAATTATGAAAGTAAAGCTCATATAAATTATGTAAAATATCATAATGGCTACATTGACCATGAATAAATGTTTTACAGAAATCCTTTGGAGATAAAGGTTAATAAACCAGAGCAACTACACCTTCTGAGAGGTTTGTGATGTTCATTCTATTCGCTAGCACTTATTCCAGTTTAAGTGATGCCCAAACATTCTTTTTCCAGCCATGCTCGGCAGCTCCGTACTTCTCCCAGTTGGATTTGCCTCCATAGAGAAGCATTTTGGTTCGATGCCCAAACCACTCTTCTTTTACTACAAACTAGCTCCTTTAATCACAGATCCAATTAAATTGGACATGCTGGAATACTTCCAGAGGAAGGCGTCTTCATCCGATTCTCAAACCAACTCAACTAACTAACAACGGGGAATTACGTCAGAATTTACCTGGCACCTCATGAATGTGATTTAAGGTTTGAACTCCTCAGTGACCAATCAGAAGAAAGAGTAAAGGATCCTTTAACTCCACCTCCACTGTGTTGACTGGCGCTTTAATGAAAAGATGTCCCACAAATGGTGAGACCAGAAAATGTGCTTTCTGTGTAGGATGATGATGGCAAAATAATTTACACAGCCCATCAGTGATTTTAAAGCTTGAATCCATAACCAGAACTCTCGTTTCTCCATCATCTTTACTATTGATGACATCCTATTATTCATGTACCTTACAGGACAATGCTGAAAAGTTTATGAAAACAGCATTCATAATAATCACAAACAGATACTGGAAATAGTAACTACTCAGTCGTAGCAGTAAAATGTTAATATTGTGGCTCCTATGTTGTCTAAAAAAAACGTATATAAAGATGGACGACATAAGTGGAGCCACATCACCTTGCCCCCCCCCCCCCCAATCAAAACCCCCTCTTCCAGCATGTTAGAAATCTCTAAGATTCTCTGTCACAGCATTAGGAGTCATGATGAAACTTCTCCAGTGGCCAGACATTTTGAGTTGGACATGACCTTTCAAATGCCCAGGGGACAGTGAATCGAGCATTTGCACAGCGAAACTCTTTTTGAATACAATGACACACAGTGTGTTGTAGAGTCAAATCTGAATATTTTCTGATATATAAACATGGAAATGAAAATCAGTGTCTCGAAAGTTTATCGAACACACACAGTTTACGTTAACAGTCCTACAAGGATAGAAAGATTAACATACAGGAAGGCAAAATGCAGTATCAGAAGACAGGGAAGAATTTTGGACCAGGAAGTAAGCTATGTTTGGTCCATTTTTCCAGTTGGCAGTGTCTCTACTTCCCAGAGTGTCCACATGAGTCAAGTACTCTGAAGCTTGAAGCAGTGAAGTAGAGAGACGTCGATAGACAGAAAAATGAAAGCACGAGTGAAGTGGGAATATACAGGAGCATGCTGAGGAGGACGCGAGGGGCAGTACTGTACCTCTGTTGCCAATGACTGTGGGGTCTGAGGCGTGGGTGCCTAATAGTGCAGTAGGATCTGGAGGGATGGGATGTAGGGGGGGAGTGGTGGATGGAGGCAGGGTGGTGGGGACGTCTGGTGGAGGGGACAGACAGACACATGTACACAAAAGTAATACAAAAACAAACACAACAAATAAAAAAATGAATTCACATGGCGGCAGTTAAAAGAACAACACAAACTGGTCACAGGCAAAACATTTTTGAGTGATGGAAAACCAAAAAAGAACAAAACATTCAAATCATTCAAGGATAAGTTTGTGGAATTTCAATGTTTAAATGATTATTTCTCTGTATGGTTTATGAATCTAAATGAACCTGCTGAATGGAGCTTCTTATTTGAATGACTCAAAAGTTTTTGTAGTCCAGTGGCATTATAGTCTTTGAGTTGATGCCAACGTGTTTTGGGTCATTGTGTCTGCCAATGAGGTTGTGCTTTCATCCTGTTCTTTTCTTTGTTGGTTGATTTGTAGTTTCATACGGTACGATACGGGTACAAGTAGCCTTCTCACACATCCTCGGCAAAATAAACAATCTGAAAAAGACTGAATCAGTTAATGTATACTGTTAATACTGGAGAATGTCCGTAAAAGACATGAAAAAGAGGAAAACTGGAGTATGTTGACAAATGACCTGTGCCAATTATTCACATTTGCAAAGAGTAATTTCAGGAAAACGTAGCAATGCCATCATTGCCATGCTCTGTTTTTGACTTCTCATTCCAGGATAACGGTAAAAGTTTTTCCAAGCGAGGCAGCGTTTCTCGCTGCCCTATGTTACAGCAACAGGAAAAATGTGGCTTAAACATTGTGTGACAAAGTTAATGAGGTTACACTACCGTCTCCATTCTTATGTTTATGCCACTCTGCTTTTACAGTGAGCTAGTGGCTTTTAATTGGCTGAGGTAGTCTTTCTACGAGCCAACTGTCTCGCACATTTCTGTGACATTTCAGGCTTAGTGTGAATTACTTTGCTGCTAAGTGCATGTCTTTGGAAAAAAAAGGGGAAGAGAGAAGATGTCTCCTCTTTGGAGGGAAACCATTAAAAATGTATTTTCAAAGAATTATGGTGGCAATTGTTAAAGGCTAAAAGGTGTCCTAATCACTAATGAAGGGTAGGGACAGACCGGGTGCCATTTCAAAAGAACAGGTAATGAATCTGGATGGGACCCTTTGACCCTCAAGTACCCAAGTGCCTTTTTTGTTGCACAGAATTTGTCAGTTTAATAACAATACAGCCATTACGTGCTTTGGTTATTCTTGTTGTTGCACTCAGCTGGCATTTGAAGGAGCTGCTTGGTGCACGTAGACACCGCCGCATGTGGCACAAGCACACCGATTCAACTCCTATGTACTACAATTATGTATGGAGGTTAGTGGGGGGTTGAATATTGAAGTTCACAACCTCAGCATGAGATGAAACTTTAGGTTTAAGGGGAACTAATAGGACGATTAGAGTGGAACAATTAATTATTAAATTGATAATTTACAATATGCTGCTGTATGCTTCTGCTTTTTAATTATTGTAATTCAATCAGCTGGAGACATTTGTAGACAAAACTTCCCTGTATGTGAACTGCACAACCTTTTTGTGGATTGGAATTTAAATGGAAAATATCAGATGCTACGTATCCCTCCTTAGTGCTGACCAGTTTACTGGGTATGAATGGAAATAGCAGTAAAATGATAATTCATTTAAATATCTCAGCTGTAGGATGGTAAACATTGGCTGCATATTTGATGGGCTTGAAAAAGACCTCTGCTCATAAAAGGCAAACAATGAAGTTTATCTCTTTCGATTTGCCTTGTTACAGTATGGGTCATGAAATTAAAAATCGTTTGGCAGCAGCACTGGAGAAAACTGTTGTATAACATGAGAATTTTACCATGACCTTGCTTTGATGTACCCATTATAATTTGAATCAGCCCACACCACTGCACACTTCTAGCTGAAGATCAAGTTGCATGCTATTAAAATGTCTTTCATTTGGAAGATTAAGTTATATTTATACTACATTTAGAGTCTTTGATCTATAAAAGCATGTCATTATTTGCTTTTCTTGTTGAAGAAATTGATAACCCATTCCCATTATTTTACTTTATAATCAACAGTTTAATTAGCCAGTGGACAAACTTTTGAACTGTGGACAGCAGAGCCACACGGTTCGGTTAAACTCTCTGTGTCCGGGAGGCTGCAAGGGTCAACATCTTGTGCCCACATCCATGACGGTCCATGAGGACTGTCTGTGCTCAGCCCATTTATTATGTTGTTTAGCATTTAACATACGTGATTCAAGAGTTATCCTCATGTTGCTTCAGAACCAAACAGCGGAAACCTCGGCTGCTTCCTCCAACGGCTCCACATCTGGTTATTAATGTAATCCCATCAAGGATATTCCAGAACATATTTGAAATCACTTTAGCTCATGTGCACCTGAGAGGTTTACTCTCTCATGGTTTCCATTAGATTAGGTCCCTGTTTAAATGGGAGAGCAAATGAAACACCCCCTAGGCGCATGTAATAATAACAATGATGTAATATTTTATTGATCCACTTGGGCGTCCAGTCGTACGGTCTCTCAGGTCAAAAATGACCAGCTTTTTTGTCCCTTGTCACACACCGTCTAAGCTCCTATTACAGAGACATAGATGTGTCGCTAATCAGCCCCCCCATTATGAAGCATTATTACTTAATGCCAAGAGACAAATGGTAGTGAAGAAACAGAAGAGGGGGAGAGCTATCTGTTTCCCCCTGACACGGAGTTCCTTTATCCTCCACCTTCTCTGGCGTTACTAGGAATTACTTATCCGTCCTGGTGATATTCCTGACAACGCAGCACTAAATTCTGCCTCCCTCACACGTTTCCCTCCCAGTTAGTGTGTGTGAGTGTGTTTGGAGGATCTGGGGCACAGGTTTATTTAAGGAAAGGCGTTGGTGGCAATTGTGTCACCTGAGGCCCTTATTCTTCCTGTGAGAGATGGTACCACTAATCACTCTTAGCAATGATACAGTATGCAGATCAGGAGGTACTTTAAAGCTGGAGTTTGCTGCCTGTGCCTGTGAGCTTATATTTTCCACTCTTTATATATGTAAACATTTTTGCATCCAAGGCGACCTCTTGCAACATTTTCTCTTCTACACATTCTTCATCTGTCAGTGGTGTCGAGTTTCTCTCTGTATCTTCGATTTTGGACAACATCACATGAAGCATGGCTACCCACGAATCATTTCCTCTTTACTCACCATAGACGTAGAGTACATATTCAGCACTGCTGGTCCCTAGGTGGTTGGTGGCTTCGCAGCGGTAGGTGCCATTGTCTGTCTTGTTGAGTGAGGTAAAGGTGAGCTCCCTCCCCTCTACAATCATCCTGTCCAGGTCAGGAATTTCACCCCCGTCTTTTGTCCATGTCACAGGATCTGGCCTGGGAGGTGAAAGAATGTGAAGGACAGACGAGGAAATAGATTTGTATGAAGCAGTATAGAATAGGCTGACATCAACTTATACAGAAGTCGAGAGACTTACGAAGGGTTTCCTATGGACACGCACTCCAACTTTAAGTACTGACCCTCCTGAGGAACAGTAAGGGAGCGGATGATCTCCACACGAGGAGCATCTAGGACAGACAGACGTGGTTTAAAGTCAGGGTGGATGATATTAAGATCCATGATCATCTGGATATCTAACTATAAATTTCAAAATAAAAGTGAAACAATATCATTTATGATAAAATATTACATACAAAACATGGTTGATCAATATAAAATCATATAACAATTTAGACAACATATATTTTCATGGACAATATTTTTTGCCCAGACCATCTTGATGTTATCTGACGAAAATGCATTCAGATGTAAAGTTACAATGGAAATAATGGAAACAGTGAAAGAAAAATAATTGAAATATAAACACTGTGACAAATAGGTTAGGTTAAATGGAAGCTAACAGAATGCAGCAGACCTTTGTCTTTTATTCACTGTTCTTCTTCACGCAAAGTGTCCACTCCATGTGTGTAAGTGTATGTGTGCATGTACACTCACAGTGGACCTCCAGTACTTCAGTGGCCTGCTGCGGTGTCTGTGTGAGTGCCACATGGTCCACTTTGCAGGTGTAGGCCACTCCATCGTCATTTCTGTCCACGTACATCTGGAGAGAGCTCCGTACTGTAAATGTCTTCCCACTTGCATTCACCTCTTTGGCACCTTTGGAGAAAATGGCATATTGTCACAAATGCTCCTGTGGTTAACATAACTTCAGCCATGCTTTACACCGAAAAGCCAGATTCCACCAGGGTCTTCTTTCTATCCATCCATACAGATGAACTGTAACAAATAGCTGAATGGAATTTTCACAGTTTCTGTTATAACCTTTTCATACCAAACCCTGACAAATATTATAGTAGAATATTGTAAGTTTCTGGTAGAAACAATAGCTGTTAAGAATGTCCAATACCAAATAAACCAAACCAAAGTACAACAAATTGCACATAATCATAGATATCAGTAGATGATCCATAAATTATTTCTAGAGAAATTAGCAAACGTGAAAAAAGCAGCTTATAATAAAGAAAGGGATAAAACATTCTTTGCCAGATCCCCTCTTAAATTGGTTTAGTAGTTTTTGTGTAATCCTGCTAACAGACAAACAGATAAACAGCAATGAGAACATAACCTCCTTGGCGGCGACTGTGAATGCACAAGGTACAAACGTAACCACACAACTTGAGGAGGATATTTTTCCACAGACATCCTTCTTTAGCTAATGTTTCTATCACGAATACTAAATGAAAACATGTCTGTGTAACTCAGCACACATTTGTATCACACATCTCCCTTGATTCTGCTTTGGTATGTCGACATGTCCAGTTTTTGGTCACAGCTCTAAAAAACCCAATTTGCTCCCCTCCTGGTTGGGACTCTTTAAATGTAATTTACACTGGAGGCTTTTTAAGCACCTCTGGCCTCACCTCCCATCTCTGCCAATGCCTGTCGCTTCCTGGGCTTTGCTACTCCCACACAATATCTAAATCTCTCCAAACACTTTAATGCACTTCAGTTCTCCCTCCAACCCTTTCTATTTCCAGCCTCACTGGGACAAAAAACATTACAAGGGCCAATCACACATTTGGCAATAACTTCAATCAGCCTTGTAGCAAAGTATCATTATGCACAGTCCTCTCCATCTGTGCAATCTGCTTTCAGGGCACTCCCTGAAACACCTGCCTTGTAATCCCAACCAAACAGCTGATCCACCTCTCCATGCCCATCAACACCCCAATCATTGCCAAAACAGTGTAGAACTCCTGCTACCCAGCTTCCTCAAATTATCTACCTGATGTCCTGAAATTTGGCAGACTCAATCATTACCCTTTTAGCTTCATGTGCCTCCACAATGATATAAGCCTGAGATAAGCCAAATGTATGAGATTAGAGGTAAATGACCAGCCCTCGCGACACAAATATTTCAACCAGCACACTGGTGCCCTTGAAAAGTTTTTGGCTGGAAATAAATCATCGTGCCTGATAGCAGTGACACCTCGTAGGTAGAGGCCCTTCTGACTGGAAGGTTACAAAGTCAACGCCTGCATCAATGACTTATTCCGTCCCCGTCAAACTGTCCTTGTGCCTGATGCTGTACTCAGACACAGTGCCCTGTGCAACATCAACAAGTTTTACCACAACACAGAATGACTTTCCAGTACTAGACTGAGATCCCCTCTGCATACCTGAAAACACCCCGCTGATATATTAGGAATTCTTGCTTTTCAACAAGTTTCTAGTAGTTGAGGCAGAATGAATGGGAAACTTTAATGTCTCTGGAGTGATCCCGCACAAATTCATACCTGAATAATTCAGGAACTGTCGCCATGTTGAGGTAACAGATGACATTTAATGACTTCAGATGAATCCTAAAAGCTAATTCATGCTCAGTGTTAGAAACTCATATGGTAACCGATGGAGCCACCTGTCCACACTGCGTTGACTTTGGCTGTATTTTTGCACATCTTCTGAAAGCTTACCGAAGCACTGGAAATAGAGGAAACACAGCAGCAACACTGAAAATTGTAAGTGGTTGTCAGTGTAGCCAATAGTTCAAGCGAGATGACCGTAAGACACGAGGAAGAAATATCAACGGCAGAACTTTTTGAGGAGAGACTGAGGAATAAATCACAGGCATCTAACTTACTGAGAACAGGGAAGAAAACTCGAGCCTCTGTGCTGCCCTCTAGAGGATACATTGCTTAGGAGTCATAACAATGTAACGTAGAAAATCACATGTAAGTCTGTGTTCCCACACAACTCACCAACGCCAGATTTGTTTTCATCTACTGGTTCTATAGAAATACACCTGAAAGCAACAAAAACACAAAAAAATATTCTTCACCTCAATTACTTCTGTTCAACCAGTCTTTTGGGGGTGGTTGGTTTTAGTGCCAGCAAGTATTTCAAACCATATCAAGCCTGTTCATTCTCTCTCCTACAAATCACTGGTGTAATGTTATTCAGCTGTCCGGGCTTATCTCCGAATTCACGTGTTGCCCTGGTTTCTAAAAATCCTACGTCTCCTTTTCTGTATTCTCATCACAGCAAATTCCAGGAAGCATCAGTCTACGGTATGCATCATCTCTCTATCATGGTGGCCACCGTTGTTTGAATCTCTTAAAGAGACTGTGTACGCTTCATATCCTTCTCGCCTCTGTGCTCATCTGCTCCACTTTCTAAGCTTCCCACCCCACTGTCTCCTCTCCCTCTCCATCCTGCCAATCAACTATTCCGCTCAGTCACTTTCCCCCAACTGAGGCAATGAGCCGGCCTCCCCTGGAGATGAATGAGTGACAGGTCTGCAGTGTTAGTAACATCCATCCACACTGCAGCAGGGAGGGAAAATGGCTGGATTTCTGTACATAAAAAGATATGGCTGGAGACAAAAGAAAGTGAGAAAAAGTTCATAGCAGAGAAAGGTAGGACAGTGAATTCATAATATCACGGTCTGTTTTAGCAGTTGCAAATGTTCTGCTACCGTCACTGCTAGTTATTCTAGGTTTCCATACTCTGTCTCTTCTTGAGTCTTTGTGTCTCTAACAGTCAAACTTGTCTTCCTCAGTCTGTTTGCAGCCTAAGAAGGTTTCTTCTCCAGACGTAGTGTTTTAAAGGTCACCCTTAGGCTAGCTACCTCATTCTACCTTTTGTGTGTTTCTCCTCTGAATCTTCATGCATTATTGTTGAGGTTAGTTTTTGGGGTTAACGATTGCCTCATTCTTACTAACTGGCACCAAGGAGAGGTTTAATTATAGACCCAGTTATCTGAAAAATAAAATAACCCCATTTCAAAAAGGTTATACAACAGCGATTTCTTTGATATTCTTCTCTCGGCACAAAGTTGAAAAGAGGACTCAAATTTTTAATCTTTTAATTCAAGGTTTTTGTCAAAAAAAAAACCCTGAATGAATCATCATGAATTAAAAAGTTTAATTGTGGTCGTATCTGTTCAAGAACAGAATTTATGAAATAGGCATGCAGTGATGCTGCTCTATCAAGTAACTTGAAGTTCTGCCTTCACTTAAACTCTCCAAAACTTCCCTCTAGTTATTATTTTGAGTTAGATTTCAGTAAAATACACAAGAATTCTCAAAGTTATAAAAAAATACAATAATAAAGTTCCGTCTGAGATGTTGTGAATGTGTGCATAACGGAAAGAAAAGCCAAGAAGAAACTCTTGTAACACACCTTCCTTATAATTCAGCTCTGTGATTTAAGGGTCTGGACCGATTTCGATTCTTGTCTCCTGGCAATTTGAATGGATTTTAATTGTGTCTGTGTGATTTAGGGTGAAAGCACTGCACATAGTGAGGTGTTTGCACACAGCATGGCTTAATTTATATCATTATTTGGCTAAAAGTCTTCTAACTTCCACTTTGAGAACATATTAACAGTGGTTTTAAGAGCAAGTAATATCTCGTCATTTAAGTGCGGCAATTTGTGTGTATGCTGGTGCCTCCTGCACTGTGTGTGTGCATGCTTGTGTGTTACAGTAGTTATAATTGGCCTATAAATATCTTATTGTATTTTATGCACAGCTAAAAGGAGCAGATGACATCGAGCTGCCATTAAAACTTGGGCTTGTCAATCATACTCATCCGGCCAGTTTCATACCACACTCCCACACTCCCACACACCCGAACACACACACACACAAAAACATTACATTATAACAGTAAAGCAGTAACTCTCAGCTGCCAATGGCGACTTATGATGTCTTTTTTAATGTAATTCTGGAGTACTGTATGAAATCTTGAAATCTAGTATTTTGGCAGAAGGTAAATGCATCTTTTCAATCAAAACCTAAATTTGATCTTGAAACAAATGCTCTTTTCCTTGTATGTGATATTGGATAAAACACTAAAATCCGTGTCATAACATGTTCATAGTGAGATATTCAAAAATTTCAGGATGGAGGCAACATTACATTACAGACATCACCAGATTTTAACAGGACTTTCAAAAAACTGCTTGTATTCTTTTTATGATATTTTCTTTTAAATAATAAACAAACTTCTCTGAGCCCTTGGTTCATTATACAATAGGAACAGAAGTGGCCTGTAGCCAGCAGCAGTGTGTACTGTCTAAAACTGCCATCTCACATTTTAATGTTATCACATCTCTCAACACTCTTGCACAGATTTTGCTGCCTACACACCGCTGCAGCACTCAGAATTCTTTGTCAGAATTTTTTTTTTTAAGTGCGGTGCAGCAGTTTTTGGGGATGATTTGGATTTGGACAGAAACCTAGCTACTAAATGAAAGAGAAGAAAATTATAAAGGCTTGTCACATTTTTTGGTTCTGACCTTTCTCCAAATGGATGTTAACAATTGCAGGAAGGGGCAAATACAGAATTTATTTTTAATTAGTAACTCACAATTAGTCAAAACTGACACTTTGCAGTGTTACAATGGTATAAATATATCTACATGATTTAATAAGCATCTTATTTTATTCTTGCTATTTATTCTTACAAATAGTCAACTGTAAACCATGTGTTTATTCTGACTGCCATATTCACCTGTGAAGACTTTCCCTAACAAAAAAGCTTGGCAGTGTTTGACTGCGACTGCGGCACACTGTTCTGTGGGAATCTGCTCCAGGCTCTGCATCGTTGGTGTGAGCCAAGAGAGTGCCTTGGAGGATTAGAAATGGAAATGAC